GGGAGCGCCACCGCGCTCCCAAGCGGCGCACTGTAGCAGTGCGCCACCAGGCCGGCCCAACCCTTTGCTGTTTTAACCGTATAATAAACAAGTATGATGCTGGAATATCATTTCATTTGAAGTAGGTACCTTAGTTTGTGTTTCCAATGGCCCTGGCTGCTTCACATGTATGTTGGATCACATTATTCTCATGCATTACTCTTTATGTAGGGCCCAAGAGTCTTGCTCTCAGGGGTTGAGGTTCTCCTGGGGACAGAAAATAGTTGCTGCATCACTTAATGACTTTCCAGTTAGTTACTTTCTGTGAGTTCCTGGGGCTGAAGATACTGTCAGCACTTTTAGACTCCAGGCTCAGTAGTCAATCATCTTTGCAAAGAAACAGACAGAAGGGGATATGGTCCGTACACCATTAGAAAATTTTTTACATAAGCACAATAGTTGATGGTTAGGCCAACCTTGTGGAAAACGTTAAATAGTGATGATGAACAGAGAATGACAATTTAGTTTTTAACTCAAGGAAGCTGGTGCTCATGAGATTCTGAAACTAACAGTCAAATTCTGAATCAGTTTTGCCACCTATTATCTGTGAGTCCCTTACATATATGATTTAGTCTCCCTGTGCCTCAATTTTCTCAACTATAAAATGAAAATAATAAAAAATATCACCTATATTACAGGGTTGCTGTGAAAATTATATAAGATAAACTTCCTAGTGCTGAGTTCAGTGTTTGTCAAGTAGTAAATGTTCAATTAATGTTAGTTGTCATCGTCGATATTATAATTGTCATTATTGTTACTTTCGGTACACGATAGTTATCATTTTCATTCCAGAAATACATTACCTTCCACAAAAAACTGAAAGTATTCTGTCTTAGAAAAACCAGGTCCAGATACTGGATCTGGAACTTTTTAGGTGTCCAGCAGTTCGATCATAATGGAACAGTGAGATATTTCCTCCCCCCGGCTAACCACAGGACATCAGGCTCTGTGCTCCAGCCCTCTGGTGGCCTTCGGCTATTGAGTGCTTGCTTGAAGTGCTGTTACACCACCAGAAAGGAGCAAGACCCAGAACTCACTGGCATTTCAATGCTGGTGGGTAGGGAAATCATGTTGCTACAGCTGCCATTTCCTGCATCCAAGGCATTTTTAAAGAGCTAGAGATCGTGGCCTTTGAAGCTGCTGAAGTTGAAATTGAGAGAGCTATACTTTTTCTTGGGCCCCAAGCACCCACTGTGGCCTTCCAGCTTCCCAACTCTTAGACTCACCCATCAGACCTCTTCTTCCCTCTTCTTGTCTTTTTCCTACTCAGCCTCAATATTTTGGATGAGGGACCCTTCATCAAAACAAATTTGGGGTCCCTTTTTAAGGAATCAGCTTGGTAATTTCTAAAACATTGTCTATTATTCTTCTTTGAAATACCATGTGATAAATCAGTGAATACTTCCATCCCAAGAGGCTTTATATTCATCTTGTAAGTAATTTTGTTTCTTCGTACCTCATTCCTATCACCACTGAAAGAGGAGAGAGAATAGGACTCCACCTCCTAATATCCCCTCATATTTCTGAATGTAGCCAAGTTCCGTGGGTTCAGCAAAAGGAAAGAATCAAGAGTTGCAGATTGTAACTTCCACCCCTTCTACCCTATGTACCATGACATACATAAACACCGCCCTTGTCGATTATTTTCCTTACTTAGTCATTCATAATAGACGGAGAGATCATAAAACCAATCACTGCAGATAACTTACTTTGAATGTATGGTCCTTTAATTCTCTGGAAACACTATGTTCAGCTCTAAAAATCGTGTGGTGTCAGCTCACACTTACCTTTCCCACATGAGAAGCCATCACACTTCAGCAGACCCTCACTCATCTACTTCTCGGTTTTGCATTTAAAGGCGGAGGGTTATTATTATTATTATTATTATTATTATTATTATTATTA